ATAAAACCAGTAGTTCCAACTCTCACTGAATATTTGTGCTCTGTAAAGCAGTCACAGGCTTCAATGTTGTTTCCAATGAATCTGGGTCTGTTTGGAAGAGCAGGGAAAACCATGAATTGATCTGGGTTTATCTAAGGAAAGAAATCACTCTAGCCTTTCTTTCTACCAGATAAAAATTATTGCCTTTATTATAGTCATCACTGGTGAAAGAGTTATTTGTACATTTCTTCAATATTAAATAATATTGAATTGGAATGGAATGGAATAGAATAGAATAGAATAACAGAGTTGAAAGGGACCTTGGAGGTCTTCTGGTCCAATATCCTGCTTAGACAGGAAAGCCTACACCACTTCAGTCAAATGGTTATCCAACATCTTCTTAAAAACTTCCAGTGTTGGAGCCTTTACAACTTCTGGAGGCAAGTTGTTCCACTGATTAATTGTTCTAACTGTCAGGAAATTTCTCCTTAGTTTTAGGTTGCTGTTCTCCTTGATTAATTTCCATCCATTGCTTCTTGTCCCACCCTCAGGTCCTTTGGAGAATAGTTTGACTCCCTGTTCTTTGTGGCAGTCCCTGAGATATTGGGACACTGCTATCATGTCATCCCTCATCCTTCTTTTCATTAAACTAGACATACCCAGTTCCTGCAACCGTTCTTCATATGTTTTAGCCTTGCTTACTGGATAGTATTATGAACAATCCATTTGAATATGTGACATGCAGTTGTGTTCATGTTTTCTAATCAAATTGAGTTAGGAAGGTTCCGTCGGAATTAAGCAATTTACACAGAAGATAGCAGAGTTTAACATTTCACTGGACTCCCAGTCCAGAATGTTACACCTATCATTTGTATGGGGAGAGTAAAAAAAAAACTCTATTTGCTTCTGTGCTAAAAGAATTGAGAATTTGTTCTTGTCTCCTGGTTGATACATTCTCTAACTCTTCTATAGTATTATCTTTCAGAAGAGTTTTTTTTTTTTAAAGAAAATAGAAAAAATACTGAGAAACTTTTTTCCGAACCAAGGCCTGCAGGCCAAAAATTAATGACTGTAGATTTTATTCTAGTTAAATGTTCAGTGTTAATATAGTTAAACATCTGATATTATTATTCTTGAGCCCTCCTCCTCTTTTTTTATTAGAAATGTGAAGTTGGTAATGACTTTTAGAGACTTCTGGAAACCAGTGTTAGGGCTTTTGGAAGCCAGACGTCTTCCAATTTTGTTTCTGCTCTATTGCAATGAATCAAGTTGTACTATGAAACTGTCAGCCTTCCCAAGTAGACAGACCTGGGAACATAATGATATGAGCTAATTCTACTTTGTTATAAAGGTAAAAATAAAGGTTCCCCTTGCACATATGTGCTAGCCGTTCCTGACTCTAGNGCACAGAGGCGACGATGGTATGTGGCAATCCTTGCAGCCTGGAACAGCTGCTGGTGCTGAATCAGGCTGCAATAATGTGCTGAAGCTGACCTGACTGAGCCAGATGAATACCGATGGATGCTGGTAGGTAGAATTTTTTTTCTTGTTTTCCTTCCCCAAAATTAAGGTACGTCTTATACTCCAAAAAATACAGTAGATCACAACCTACTTCTTGGTAAGCTAGATAAAAGTGGGATAGATAGCATCACCATTGTAATTGACAAATTATATTCAATGAGTAGCCCTTAATGGTACTGCATCTGCATGGAGTGAAGTAAGCAGTAGGTTACCACAAGGTTCTGTCTTAGACTCAGTACTCTTCAATGACTTAGATGAGGGAATAGAAGGGGAACTTACTAAATTTGCAGTTGATATTAAGCTGTCAGGAATAACCAATACACCTAGATCAAGGGTGTCAAGCTGAATTTCATTGAGGGCTGCATCAGGATTTTGGTTGCCCTCAAAGGGCCACAGTTGCATGTAAGACTATGATGACTAATAGGTAGGTGTGGTTGGGTAGTCACTGCTGGGTCGCCGTGACTAGATGGACATGGCTGGCTTGAGAGGGGTTTGGAGCAGAATACCACCTATGTCCCTTCCAACTCTGTTATTCTGTATTTGTTTGGGATTTGATTGGATGATTTATTTGGGATTGGATTAGATGATTTATTTTTAGAGGCTTTCGCCTCTAAATTTCTAGCTAGATTGAACCTCATTAGTTGAATGGATAACCACCAGAAAATCTCATAATTGAGGATCAGACCAAGGATTCAGAAAAACATCTAAAACCCAGCAATGATACTATTTTATTATCAAGGAATCAAGGATAATGTTCAGCAAGACTCCGGAGAAATTTTACCAACATTGTTACGCAGCAGTTACAGATAGTCCTTCTAGAAAAAATGAAAATGTCAGGGTTCCAAGTAACACCCCCAATCACTCCAAGGCTAGCAGTTCCTCAAAGTTCCATTTTATTATGGAATAATAATTCCATAACAAAGCCCTTGGGTTTCCCCCACCCAAAGGAAGTTCTCTGCACTGACATGTCCATCACATGGTCCAATCCCCTGCATTGACATGTCCATCACATAGTCCAATCAATCCATCATTCCCACTGGACATATTTTCTTGTCATGCCTCTCCAGCTGCAGGTTGAATATCCTTGATTCTCAGAGAAAAGAATGTTGTTATGGCTATCTATCTCTACCCACTTTATGCAATACCCCTCCCAGTGTCCCACAGCACGGCTGTGCACTAAATGTGGCAGCCCTAAAGATCCAAAGAGAAAGATGGTCTCCAGGGGGCTGGGGGGGGGGGCAGAGGGGAGAAGAGCTCAAATATTGCCACAACAGTGATGAAGCTTTATTCTATTTACAAAGTTCTCAATTTACGACCACAATTGTGCCCAAAATTTCTGTTGTTGAGAAAGTTATTAAGTGAATTTTTTACCACAGTTGCTGTGTGAATCACTTCAGTTGGTAAATTAGTAACGTGGTTATTAAGTGAATGTTTTTCCCATTGATTTTGTTTGTCAGAAGGTCACGAAAGGTGGTCAAATTACCCCGCGACACTATTATCATCATAAATATGAATTAGTTGCCCACTATCTGAATTTTGATCAAGTGACCATGGGGATGCTACCATGTTTCCCCGAAAATACGACAGGGTCTTATTTTCTTTTTACTTACAAAATATGGCCTTGGCCTTATTATAGGGGAGGGCTTATTGTTTTGGGTTTGCCGAGCAGCTGCTCCCTTGCGAAATGGTTCCCGAAGAGCTGGGCACAGCCTCAGGGGCGAAGCAACTATGAGGTGACCAAGCTCATGAGCAACCGCCCGGCAACCTCCCTCTCCAGCCATGTAGAGCACCTTTCACTGACCTAGGGGGTATCACTAAGGCACCAAGCCATGTGGCGCTCTGCCGGCTCCCCAGCTCCCGCGGCTTGGCACATTAGGGATACCCGTTAGGTCAGTGCATAGAGCTCTGCCCAGCTGGAAAAGAGAGTTGTGTGAGCGCCTGTTCTGGCTCCAGCAGGCATGCCTCCTAGCCTCAACATGTCCAGGACCAGCTCTCCCTACAACAGCCGCTGCCACGCTCCAAGCATAATGTCTTCTCTGGTTCCAAACTCCCAAACTTGGCTGTCGAGTCATCCAACAGCGGCCACTCTAGGAGTGTGCTCTATGGTGTAAGCCTCCAGAGCACAAAAAAATGGCCCAACGGACAAACCAGAAGTCCGTTCCCGAACTTCCTGTTTGCCCATAAGGCTGTTTTTTTGCTCTCGGGGAAGCTCCTGAAGCCTCCAGAGGCCTCTGAGGGGGGGGCTGTTTTCTCCCTCCCCAGGCTCCTATAAAGCCTCTGGAGGGCAAAAAAAGCATGCAAAAAATGAGGGGTCGCACCTGGCATGTGTGCATGCGTGCTGGGGTTCACACATTGAATTATGGGCGCAGCACACCTGCGCATGACCCCCCCTGCTCTCTCCCGCTGCTTATGGCATGCGAGCCAAAAAAGGTTTGCCATCGCTGACTTAGGCTATAAGAAAACGGGCAAGACCCTGAAACTGAGCTGCAGCATGGTGGCCAAGACCATACAGTGGTTTAACAGGACAGGTTCCACTCAGAACAGGCCTCGCCATGGTCGACCAAAGAAGTTGAATGCCCATGCTCAGCGGTCATATCCAGAGGTTTGGGAACTAGACGTATGAGTGCTGCCAGCATTGCTGCAGAGGTTGAAGGGGTGGGGAGTCAGCCTGTTAGTGCTAAGACCATATGCTGTGTGCTGCATTAAATTGGTCTGCAGGGCTATTGTCCCAGAAGGAAGCCTCTTCTAAAGATGATACATAAGAAAGCCCACAAACCGTTTGCTTCAGACAAGCAGACTAAGGAATCAAATACTTAGTTTGTGACTTACAGATGTTTCTGATGGAAGTTGTGACTAGGTTTTTGTTCATTTTTGGTTGGTGCACCAGTTATCTGGAAGATTTGATCACCTCCTGATTGAACTTCTATAGTGTTCTTTAACTGGGAATGCTTTTGAGTTGTCTCAGAAGCTGGTGCCGGTGCAAAGGGCCAGTGGGGGGATCTGCTATTGGGACCCTCTACACCAACTCCAGCTTCTGAGCCAACTTGAGTATTTGATAGTCATGATACTTCGTCTTAATCCTATCTAATAGCCTAGGTGTTCCCCAGCTAAAATTTTTTAGAACCTGTACTAATGCTGAGGTACTCTTGATTCATGTGCATATTTTGGTCCCCATGTTTGGAATGCAGATATTAATTCAACAGTTACTCTTGAAGAAATGTGTTTAGTAATAGTAGTAGTAATAGTAGTTTTAACTGTTTTGTCTTTTTATATTTAACACTGTTCAATTTACATTTCTTCCTCCTCTAATTGAAGTCTTCTCCATCCTTTCCTCCCCTATTGCATGTAGATGGGTGACATGGTATGTATATATAAATGTAATTATGCTTGCCAGCTTATGGTAACCTACCACATGTGTTCTGAGAAAGTGAACTTTAGCCTTATAAGCTTGTTCAATAATAAAATTGTTATTAAAATGCTTTATAACTTTTTTCCTGCAGGTATTTAAGCCCTATCAAGCTTCTCAGCATGACATGTGTCGCTTTCATTCAGAAGATTATATTGACTTCCTTCAAAGAGTTAGTCCTAACAACATGCAAGGATTCACCAAAAGCCTCAATGCTTTCAATGTGGGAGATGACTGGTTAGTATTCTACACCATTTAGATATATAGGATGGGTGAGAAGGGTGTAAAGTTTACATGTTTTGGAAACTGCATAAGAAATGTCTCCCATGGATAAAATTTATATATTTTGGTATATTTAATTTTTTTTCCTGTCAAGGACAAGGTAGTTCTCTCCGCCATTCCATTTATAGAAACCAACTGAATTAACAAATCTTCAACTGGTAATGAGACTGAATCCTCAACTGCACTTGAAGGCGATACGATATTTAGGGAACACAAGAGAGATTGTGTGATATTAATAGTTATATATAAAGATGCTGGGAAGCTCAGAAGGAACAGCTGGCAACAGCAACTTCTTCCCCTCAGATCTTCTACATAAAACTCTTGCTTCATTCTGCCTTATGATAGTGTGATCCTGCTAGACTTGTGATCCCAGTGTTATCTCCATAGCAATAGACATCTCTATGTCCTCAGCGCTCTCTGCCTTTTTTTTCATTTTAGTTAGGTGTTTTGGAATGGGCAAGTTCTCCCCTCCACAAGCAATCATAGTTCTCAAGATATAAAATATACCCAATAGCCCCAAAATGTTGGATCTTTGAAATCTTAAAATATGACATTTTAAATCCCCATGTTTAGTGTTTATACACAAATATATTTGTACACATAACAGCTAATCTTTTGGTGGGACCAAAGGCTAGCAAGAGTCACAGTGGTTTTTCCTCTTTTAAACCTGATCTCCTTTTCCAAAGGCATCAGTTATCATCTGGAAGGAACAATCTCCCTCCCCCTGGAACCACACAAGGCAGAAGCTTCCCCTTCGTGTCTGCGTGTCAGCAAAGTAGCCCTTGATTTTCCCCCATGGGGATCCACATGGCCCCTATGGCCCTTAAGAGATCATTTGTTGGGCAGAAAAAAGGAGCTGACATTGCGACGGTACGACGTGTCCAGTCGACAGTTTTGCCGCTGGACGGTCCATTCGGACCTAAACCATCTTGAAGAGACGGTGACAGGGAAGAGTACCTCTTGCTGATCTCAGGGACACCGCAAAGTCCCTGATTGATCCAAGAGAATCTCTTCTTCCCGGTGACAATAAGCACAGCCTCAAGCTGCTGAAGTCGGAACAGCTCCGCAACAGGAGGAAAGCGGAAAGAGAAAGTGTGTCCATCTGGTGAGGAAATCTTATTTTTATAAAAGACTTNCCTATTTTTCTACTTGCATTTTTACATGCTTTTGAACTGCTAGGTTGGCAGAAGCTGGGACAAGTAACAGGAGCTCACTCTGTTACGCGGCACTAGGGATTCGAACTGCTGAACTTAGCCTTGTCTTAGCCACTGAACCACTGCATCCATTAAATGTAGATGTTAAATGTTCTAAATGTAGCATTTGTATGTAACATAATGTTACATTGGCAAAACCTTGCAAGTCTAAAAATACAAATCTAGTGCTATCTTCTTTATAGTCTGAGAAGCTAGGGATCCCTTCTGAGCCTCATTCTCTGCCCATTATGTAGCTGCTGGCTATGATCTCTCTTATTGAACAGTTTCCTAGGCAGCAATTCTTCCTCCTGTCTCTCAAGTTCTTTCTCACATACTATTGCAGAAACTTTGAAAGCATGATGCAACCGTTTAAAACTTTCTTTATTATTTCTGCAGTAACCTCCAGTGTATTTGTCTTTTAAACTTATTATCAATAGAGAATATTTGTAGTCCAAGGTCCAAATGAGGGACCTTTGGTGCTCTGTGAGCTTGGTTGTTTTTTTGCTCAGAGCAAATCACATTCCCTGCTAGCATCAATGATGTTACCAAGTTTGAGTAATAAAACATCGGCAAGAAAGCAACCAAGGAACCCTCAAACTTATTATCTCTGTCATTGACGATCTCATGAATCCCATCCAATCATAACTTATTCTGTTCTCCCATTTTTCTTGATTTATTCATTCATCTTATACTTGTTTTTCAGTTCATTCTACATTAATTCTATTTGTATTTTCAGGTCACCTCAATGCACTTCCTTCACATCTATCACTTACTTCTCTACTCAATCCACATCCATTCAGCATCCATTCATTATTTGCCCATCTTTTTCTTGTTTTGTCACAGAGACTCTTCAGTACCCTATTTCCACTGCTTTTTGAATTTTTACCCAACTCTCACTTCCAAATAATAAAGGGAGCAAGAGCACAATGTTCTACAGAGCCATTTTTTGTGTATTTTAACAATTACAATTCCATTACAACAGACCATTCACTGCCCCACTCCTTTTCTACCAGCATTGACACTGCACCCCCCTCCCTTGTGGTTGTAAGCCGCCCTGAGTCCCCTCAGGGAAAAGGGCGGCATATAAATCCCAATAAAACTCTAAAAACT